CGCTCCCACATGGGCTACAGCGAACCCGAGCTGTTTACACGTTTCCAATATGCCTCCTGCTGTCCTTTGATGCTTGCCTTTCGCGCATGCCACCTCAGACCCTTCCTAGAATGCCCATTTCCTTCTTCTAGAAAGTCTTCTCTTACCATGGAACTTCTTTCCCAAAACTACAATTAGGTGTCCCTTTTTTAATTGCCTCCAATCAACCCCATACAAGTCATCTTATCCCACTCTACTCTTTAGATGCCCGACTCCTTGGTTGCTGACTACATTCTCCATCCTACTCAGACTTCCCACTGCCTCCATTATCAAAGAAACCACAGGAGCCACCCATCTACGATAGTCCTTGTTCTCTAATTTTTGCTGCACCCCCCACTGATCTCTTAACCACCTTTCTTCTTTCCTTTTTGACATTTACCCCCCCATCCCTTTCTTAATTAGCCCACACAAGATTAGAGAGACAAATGTATCTTACAAAGGCATACTACTTACATAACCCTTCCTCGCTCCTCTCACCACTTCCCCTGCTGACCTATTCCTACGAAGTCATTCTACTTTCCTTGCTGACCATCCTCAGCTTCCCATCATCCGCGCCACTCTCCAACCTGAGCGCCCCCTCTCCCACCCTCCTAACTAGACGCTCCATACTCCTCGGTCACCCACTCCTTCCTCGGCTCCTTCAAGCGCTTTCAAAGGCTTTTATTATCAACATCCATCTTACTATAGGCAGCGAGCCTGTTTGGGCGACCCTCTCTCCTCTCCTCTCACCCCACGCTCCTCTTCTTCGCCCCCCCGCCCCAACACCCTCCTCTGCGAAGACTTTCAGGTCCATAAACACAACACAATATTCTAGTTCTCTACCCTCAACCATATACTCCAGGAATACAATCAGCCCTTCCTCCTCTGCTTCGTTATAAGGAACATAATACTGTTTCTTTCCTTTACCCCCACAGCGAATCAGGATAGTACTCGCCTTTGAGGATCCCTCAGGGTTATAAAATTGCTTACTGGCTTAAAGTTCTTCTCACCAAAGATCATAAGAAATCAACCAAAGTTCGCCTTCTTTTCCTGTACAATTTAAATAAATACTCCTGCAGTAGTACCGGAGTTTACATTGAACTGCAGACCCCTTGGCGTCAAGAAACCTTTGAAAATCTGATGAAAGGTATGTGCCATTACTCTAGAAAAAATGTTCCTGTGTACATGCACATTAAGTATCACATAACTGTTTCAGGCTGTTCAAAGACTACAAGTCTGTTCATGACCTAATGGTCCATGTTCCCTCAGTTAAGAGCTCCAGAGATATAGGATGTGAAACTCAAAGGTAAGTACCCAGAGCCATGAAAACTCCTTTTGTGACTTGGAAGAATTCTACAATTTGAATTAACTTTGTGGAGAGAGAGATATTTTCGAAAAATTGTGTGTACCAAAAAAAATTCATATCAAATAATATTTTCCTGTAGTGCATTCAAGGATCTGGTTTCACAGCAAAAAATTGTTTTGGTCTCAGTTCCTCAAAATCACATTTAAGGAGCTTGAGATTTATATTTTCTACTTAATAAGTCTTACAAAAACAAGAAGGAAAATGGATAATCGTTTCTGCACACATAGGATTTAATAAAACATGTATAATAAAATATGTCATATTTTAAATTTCCACCCTATTGGTAGCTTTCATGACAAAGGGCTCAGGTGCTGGTGGCAATACAATTAAGGTTTTTGGTTGGTTTTGTTAGCAGAACTAGCTGACTCCTACCCTGGTGGGTTTTTCTTTTGTTTGTTTGTTTGTTTTCACAGATGGCTCAGGAGAAAGGTAAATAGCAATCATCGTATGTGTGACAGAATTTGAGATAGAATGAGCATATTGAGTCTCACATCCTATTGTTACTGTCAGGCAGGGTTGACCTAGCAGTGTAAAACTATCACAAGCAATTTAGTCACTCAGTTCTCAGTTTAAAAATAAACTTTATGTTTATTTCAAGTACTGTAATAATTCATGTTTAGATTAGAAAAGTCACTAGAAATTTGACTTCCATATAGTAATCTATACTTTTTTCTCTCATTTCCTTCATTTTTTGAGCCATAAGTATAAGGCACTTTACAGGTATTTTTACAATTGTTATAAGCATTTTCTTTGCTTGCCCAAGGTCACATAGCTAGCAAGTTAAAGTAGATTCAAATCCAGGCCTGCTAGACACCAAATTATTATTTAAGAGTACTTTTCACTACTCCTAAATAATGACACACATATGTTTGTCTTACATATTTCACTTTATTGTCAAGTTATTAGTATGTTTATTTTCAAAAGATATTTTTTGCAATATCTTTTTATTATTCCGTACTTTTTAAATTTACTTCATTATCACCTCTTCCTTTATTCTTTTTAAATAGCTTTTGCTTTTGTTATTTTGTTTTCCCTTTTTTACTCTTGGTTTGTAATACATCTTTCCTTATTTGCTCCTTTCTCATTTGATCTCAGTGTTAATCCGTTTTCTACATCTGATTCACTAAAATTTTAGGCCTTAAAAAATTCCTGATTTTCCTACGTCCTTTTGCCCATTCTCTTCTCCTTGCCTCACTTCTTTTATCTTTTTCCATTTTACTTTCATTTTTTGTTTCCCTAGATGTATTTACATATAGGTTAATGTATTGTTGCAATTTTGCATCTGTAAATTAGAGCTTCAGATTCAACTGAGTGTATTTATTCTTTATTTTTAGGCCTAAATTTATCTTACCTTTTACTGATTTTATAATATACTATGCTCTTTCATTTTAGTCTGCACATGTTAGCCAAAGAAGATAGGCCCCTGTTTTAAGAAGTCTCTGTAAAAAATGTCAAGCATGACAAGAATTCTTCAAGAAACAAGCTCCTCTAGTTTGTCTTCTATATTTAGAGCTTCAGCAGTTACCTGTATTACTGGTAACTCCCAAATATACCTTCAAACTTGTTTTTTGGGCCCAAGTTTTTTTGCTTCTTATATATCTGTTTTGAATATCCCATAAATACTTAAAAACCACATGATCATCTCAATAGATGCAGAAAAGGCTTTCAATAAAATTTAACATCCCTTCATGTTAAAAACCCTCAGCAAACTAGGCATTAGAGGAACATACTTCAAAATAAGAGCCATCTATGATAAGCCCACAGCCAACATCATACTGAATGGGCCCAATGCTAGAAGTATTCCCCTTGAGAACCAGAATAAGACAAAGATGCCCACTCTCACCAATCCTATTCAACATAGTACTGGGAGTCCTAGCCAGAGATAACAGGTAAGAGAAAGAAATATAAGACATCCAAGGAAAAGAAGTCAAACTATCTCTGTAGACAATATGATTCTGTAGAAAACCCCATAGTCTTTGCCTAAAAGCTCTTTGATCTGATAAACAATTAGCAAAGTTTCAGGATACAAAATTAATGTCTAAAAATTAGTGGCATTTCTATACACCAATAGCATTCAATCTGAGGGTCAAAATCAAGAACGCAATCTCATTCACAATAGCCATACACACACAAAAATACCTAGAAATATAGATAACAAGGGAGGTGAAAGATCTCTATAACAAGAATTACAAAACACTGCTCAAATCAGAGATGACACAAATGGAAAAAGATTCCATGCTCATGGATAGGAAGAATTAGTATTGTTAAGATGGATGTGCTTCCCAATGCAGTTTATGGATTCAATGCTATTCCTATCAAACTACCAGTGACATACTTCACAGAATTAGAACAAAAACCCTTAAAATTCATACGGAACTTAAAAAAGAGCCTGAATAGCCATAACAATCGTAAGTAAAATGAGCAAAGCTGAAGGCATTACACTACCCAATTTCAACTATACTACAAGGCTTTGGTAACCAAAACAGCATGGTACTGGTACAAAAACAGACACATAGACCAATGGAACAGAAAAGAGAGTCCAGAAGTAATGCTGCACACCTATGATCTGATATTTGAAAAAAGTTGACAAAAACGAGCAATGAGAAAAGTACTCCCTATTCAATAAA